TGTCGTCTGCCAGAGCCCTGCGCTTGCTGGGTGGCATTGGCAAGGAGCTCTGCGCCTGCCTCTTCCTCCGCTTGCCTGCCGTGGCAGGGGGGGATGGTGGCAGGTCCATCCCCGCATCCTGCCACGGCTCCTGGGGCTCCATCCCGCCGCCGTTGACTATTTTGAGGCTCAGCATGGCGTCGCTGAGCTTGGGGATGCAGTAGTCAGGGGTGAGCATCTCCTCAGGCAGCGAGAGCGAGCTGAAGTCACGGTGGGGGGTGGCTGCGCCGGTGCCACCAGCGTCCCCAGGCATGGGGCTGCTGCTGGGAGCATGCTGGCTGACCGCCAGCCCGCCCAGGGAGCAATCAAAGAGCATTAGGGCCTCTTGGAGAGCCACTTTCTCAGCCACAGCAAGGGCATCTCCAAGGGCTTGGCTGGGGGGGACGTCGCTCCCCGGGGGGATGTCGCTGCCCAGGGGTGCCCCCGCAGGGGTGGCCGTGCTGGAGATGTTGATCTTTGCCAGCTGCCCCTCGATGTGCTGGTAGCAATGGATGGCTGTCAGCAGCACCGGAGGGGCTGGGGCCACCCCACTCCTCTGATTTTTATAGGGTGCGAGGTATCGTGGTTGGCCCTGGGGGGTCCCTGGGGCTGCCCAGGCCAGGGGGGCCCTGCAGCCCCCGGGACCCCACAGGGCAGCACCCGGCAGAGAAGCGGTGCCTTGGCCGAGCGTGGCGGTGGCCGGCGGAGGCAGGTGGGTGGTTGTCCACTGGATGCGGAAGACGCGGGGGTCGAAGAGGCAGCCACATGGGGCCCTCTGCAGCCCTGTGTGGGTGAGGGGGAGCCGTGCTGGGGCGGGGAGACTCTCCAGGGGCACCCGCCGAGCCGGCCCCGATGGCCGACATCCCCCAGCTCTGGGCCAGGGGCGTGGGGAGCTTGTGGCCGGGGCGATCCCCACGGGGTGAGCTGCTGTGCCGGTGGGACGGGGTTGCAAATCGGGGAGGAGACTCGCATCTAGGAGGTGAAACGGGAGAGGTGGCCCCAAATATTTGGGGAATTCTCTGCAGATGGGCTTTACTGGGCACGCGCCGCCTGGGCGAGGGCAAGGATGCTCACCGGGGCTTGCTGAACCCCCATGTGAAAAGTGCCAGGGGAAGGGGTGTGATGGGGATGGGGAAGGTGCCAGAGCAGACTGGGGTGCCATACCTGCTGGTGGTGCCTGGGGGGCCTGGGGTGGCTGGGCTGCAGGGAAGGGCTGCTCCCGCGCGGGCAGGCGGCACAGGTTGGCTGAGCCTAAGAGAGAGAGACGGGAGCGATGGCCGGCGGTCACCTCGGCTCTTGCCCCCCAAGAGCGTCCCTGGGCTGCAGGGGGTGGGGTCGGTCCCTACCTCGGGGGTAGAAGGTTTTGGGGAGCGTGAATGGCTGGAAAAGCTGGGGCGCCGGGGGGCCCCAGGGCCCAGGCAGTGGGAGCTGCACTGGTGGCCGCGCCATGGTCCCTTCTGGCTGTTGGCTGCCAAGGACTCTTTGGCGTCTCCCCGGAAGGAATGCGGGGGCTCCCTGTGTTCCGCCCCACCCCCAAGAGCCTCCCCAGCTCCTCCTGGGGAGGGAAAGGGTTAAGGGAGGCTGGGGTGCCCCCGGGGCCTACAGGCGGCTCTCAGGGGCTGTGGGTACAGATACTCTTGGCTTTCAACAGTGTTTTTCCAGTGGGGGAAAAAGAACAGGTTGATTCGGCCGAGCCGAGAGGGGACCAAGCCGCGGCCTCCTTGTGGCAGATGGCAAACGCATTTGTGAGTATTGGCCGTGCTTCTGTTCGCTGCATTGGCTGGAGTGACGCAGAAATAGGAGAAAGGACTTTGAGGGCGCGAAGGAAGGTCACGCGGTGTCACTCGGTGGCACGCTTTCCCCCAGCCCTCGCTCCAGTAGTGCTGTCAGGTCTTTTAGTCTCCTGATGGGAAAAGCAGCAGCTCTGGATCCCCCTCGGAGGGGGCGGCGCTTTCCCTGGGTGCGTGACACCCAGGAGGAGACAGTACCCGCCGCCGCGTGCTCCCAGAAAAGGCCTGGATTCTGCACAACGTCCGATGAGGAGAGGCTGGGGCTGTTTGTGCTCCGCAGGGATGGGGTTAGTCCATCCCCTCCTCGTACTTGGAGGATTTGGCGCTCCCAAGGACACCCTGGGTAGGAACGCGGGCCTCTCGCTCCCGCTGTGTGAACAGTGTGTGGCCTGGGGGAGTCGGGACAACTGCCGTGAACCGGAGGCCAAAGATCTCTCCTGGCCTGTATCCTGTTAATTAAAGAGATGGCGCTCTGTTGGTGAGGCACCTCTGGCTGCAAGATTGTGCAAGGCCATCTGCTGCGTAACTTGTGGCAGGGACCGATGCTGGGGGCGTGAAGGCAAGCGCGCTTCTAAAACCATAAAACTCCGTTTCATTTCAGAGCGCAGCTGAGCAACCCCGCTCCTCAACACACACCATCCTAATGCCTCCTCTTGCCTTGGTGCCATGGGAAAGGGCCTCATCAGCCCTATCTGTAGGAATTTGCCTTGTGTTTAGGCAGGAAGGTGAAGCTGGTAGGTACAGGTCCCAGAAGCAGCTCACTGGAAGAAAGAATAGAACAAAACCAAGAACAAAACAACAAAAAAAAGAGGTTTGTTTTCAGTACAACAGAGCCACCGGTACCCAGCTGTTGCATGGTCCTGTGGCTCTATAGCGATCATGACTGCAGTCAGCTGTGTCAAATAAACCTTCACCCTCCTGAAAATTTAGGGCTGCTGCACAAAACCACCTCTCATGCTGAGCTTTAACCGTGAACCACAGTACTGGAGGGACGCAGCCTCCAGATAAGGGCAATGCCCTTCTTGCTGGGAGTTACCAAGAGTTGATGCCAAAATGGGTTCCTAAGTTTGGTGACCTGAATACCAGCCTCACCACTGGCAATGACGTGCCTATAATCAACATGAGCATCTGAAAAGCTCCTCCCCACCTCTCGCTGTGCTGGTGCAGAGCCAAAACCCTGTTAGTGCCAAAAAGTATTAAGGTCAGATCCTAAAATGATGTAAGCCAGTTCTATTGCAATCAGATTTATCCTAGCTTAAGACTTCAACTATTTCACACTTTGGAACACAAGTTGTATTTTCAGTGCAGAGTAATTTTCTTTATAGTCAAGGCGGCTTAACTTATTTCCTGGATGCTGGTTCAATACAGCATCGCTAAAACTTTCCATAAGACATGTCAGAGAGAGTATCCCAGCAGGGCATAGAATTGCATAGCAAGAGCCTGAATCTACAGCACAAAAGCAGAAATAGAGTGTGCTCAGAGAACCCTGCTTCTGGTTAGCATCTCCTTAAAATGAGCTTTAATGAATAAGCCTAAATTGCTTTAAAATTTTGAGTTCTTATGGCTATAAATGTCTATTACATGGCACTGTAAAGACCACAGGTTACAAAGCTTTGTGCAGCCTAATGGAGGCAAGTTCCACTTGAAAAACGGCATTTAAAAATTCTGATCAAAACTTGATGTACTTTTAACGTGGTTTTAGGCAGCTGTTCACAGTACTAACAAAATGGTTGAGGATTAGCAAAACCAGAGAAGGCTGTAGCCATGCTCTATTTTTGCTAATCTCTGTTTCCATGAGATGGGAAATAGCAGCTGGCTGCTCCAGCTCTCATTTTAGCTGTCTTTGAGCTTGCAAAGTCATTTCAAGCCAGTGCCTCAGGACTCATAGGTGTGGGGAAAAACAGTTTCCTGGACTTTGTTGCATGAACTCAGAAATCAGATCATGAAAAATGGGGAAAATGCTCAGCTCTTCTAACTTGGGGATGGGGGTGGCCTTCCTGCTTGGCATCTGTATGGGCCTGGCAGGGCGGGACTGTCGGGGCAGAGCACGGAGGGGTCTGATGCTGAAAGCCTCAGACGTCCCATCGTTGCACTCTCCTCTGTTGGTTCCTACAACTCTCCTGGGATGAACAGCGTGTCATGAGAGAGATCAGCTATTCTAGATTTGCAGTGGGTACTGGATGACCTGCTGAAGCAGATACAGGGATTGAGAGAGCTTTTTATGGCAACTCCAAACTCAGTTAAAACCTCAAAGTAAAGAGCTGGTTAACCCTTGCTGCTTTCTTACAACCTCTTAAACTGAGGGGAAAGAGTCACCACCACCTCTTTGGAGGACACATGCAGGCACAGTGGTTTTGTGGGGCTCTGCAACATCCCTTCCTAGCAATTTAAATGAAATTCAGTGCTTTAGTACCTTATTTTAATCCAATCGTCCACGTTTTGACTTGCCATCAGCGTCTCCAGATAGTCTCTCCCCATGTAGTAAGGCGGCCGCTCGTTAATTTTCTGAGGTAGATGTTCTAATAAGCCAACTGGAATATACCTGCAATGAAATGCAATGGCATTGTGTGCTGTTGTTCAACTGGTACAGGCTTGGTGCGTTAAAGATTCTCTCAGCTGGGGAGAATTACCTGCACAGGAATGAGAGCCATTCCAGCAGGAACTTCCTGGTCTTCTCCACTCCCTGAGTATCTGACCCCCAGTGCTCAAGGCCATAGTTGGTGAAGTCTTTGAGGATATCAAATCTCTCGCTGGAGGAGATATCCCAGTGTCTCTGTTCCTTGATTTCAGTGAAAAGCCACGGTTTGATGAGTGCCCCTCTGTAGCCAAAACAAAATGTGCATTGTTATTGCCATGACTGATGCTTCTGAAGATGCCAACTAATCTAAGAGACTTATTTGGAGTCCTTCCAGCACTTACTTGCCAGCTAATGCTGCTTTCATTTTTTTTTTTTCAATTTCAACAGGAAGCTGCTGTAAGTTCCCAGATGCAAACTGATTTTACCAATTTTTAAAGAGTAGTTTCACCAAGAGGAAAATTCTCATGTTTTGGGTTTGTTTAGGTATTTTTTAATTCATTTTCTACTCTTGCACCAACAGAGCTCAGAAACGAAAAGGAAACACAGGCACTTGCCTTGCAATCATAATTCCCGAAACGCCCATCTGCATGGCTCGATTAGCATCTTCGTAAGACAAAATATCACCATTTCCTGTCCAGAAGGAAGGGAGAAGCCAGAGGTCAAAGTGATACATGAGGGCAAGTCAAAATGAGATAATCCAGGCATGGGATAAAATTCAAAATGGACACAGGGTCTGAGAGCCAGATTGTCCAAAGAGGCTCTGGGACTCATGTTTAGAGACTCCCAGGGAGGGATGCTTTTGATTAATGTTCCCCTTAAAAGGAAAAGGAGAGCCTTCTCCTCTCTTATTCTCCACTCCCAACTCCTACCCTGAAGGTTTAGCTGGGACTGTCTGTCATGGTACCCAAGAGAGAAAGCACCTGCTAAAAACAAAGTGTTTTGTGTCCTGCCTGTTCCTTCCCCTCCTACTACTGTTCTGTGCTCATCACGCCTGGCCCCAAGCGCACAGGCAGATCTGGGCTGCGCAAGAGCTGCTGGTAACTCACTCCATCGTATCATCGGCATCAGTAGGGATACTCCAACCTTTACCCCCAGCTAAATGTCCTTGGAAGCCTGCTTTTTTTCTTTTTAAAAAATATTTCAAATCAAACATGTGGCACTTTCAGTCCACGTGACAAAACAACAGAAACACCTACCAAAAAGAGGCATGGGGCTTGCTATTTTAGCACATTCTGCTATGTAGTCCCAGTCAGCACCCCTTGTGTACCGCTGTTCCCTGGATCGGCCATGAAGCTGGGGAAGAAAGTCACAGTGAGACCTCACTGAATGCCCCAGAGGAGGCAGGGCAGAACATGAGCGCTGGAGAAAGGTGCTTCAGCAAAGGCAATGATACCGGGCTGGGGTAAAGGATCCCTCTGGATCTACACCGCAGCCAGTTGCTAACAGACCAGGCTGTGGAAGTGGTTAACAGAGCTGAGAAAGGGCTGGATGCTTTCTGAGTAATGTTTTGGCTATTTGCATGCCAGAGCAAGAAGTGACCGTTCACAATGAAAGGGAATATTCACTGTGGGCAGGAACTACTCATCCTCACGCAAATGAGATGGTCCCATCCTCTCCCCCGCCCTGCTGTAATGACGTTTATTTGGCTGAAACTTCTGTTCCAGAGCACTGCAGGAACCATCTCCCTTCGTAATGGATACAAGGCTCAGGAGCACCTAGAAAAAAATGCTCTCTGCTCTGAAAAACGCTCTGAATTTTTCTGTTGTTACCAGAAAACACTAAAAGGTAGTACGCAGCTGCTCAAAGGCATTTGAAAGAGCTACTCAGCTGTGGGGAAGGATAAGGTCACCCCTGCATTGTGCTCTAGGCTGACATGCAAGCAGAGTTCCCCAGACACCAGCCAAGAATCTCATGCCACAGCAAGTATCCCTGTACCGTGACCATGGATGCTCCCCACTCCCGGATCTTGGGGATTATTTTATGAGCCACATTAATCTTTTCTTGCACCCCCGTCCGTATCTTCACAGTCAGTGGGACATCCAGCACCTGCAGAAATGGGAGAGTGAGGCCAGGCTGAGGCAGAGTCGGCTCCATCAGCTCATCTCTGGCTGCCAGCAGGTGCTCTGACTCACCGAGTTCATCCCTCGGACAATCTGTTCAAACTTGTTGGATCGAGTCATCAGAGCACAGCCTCCTCCCTGGTGGACAAAAAGTGGCACAGTCAAGACTTTCTGCTTCCCTGAATAGTGAAGAGCCTCCTTGGAGCTGCTCAACAGCAGCCTTCTACTCAGGGAATGCAGGTAAGGCTTGGAGCATCTCAAGACTTGGAGAAAGGGGACTCTTCAACAAAAAAAACCCCACAGCCCTTTTCCCTCCCAACTTCTGCTTGCTGCCAGGCAGAAACAGCTAACCATTCCCTGCTCTTTGAACAGCTCATTCGCCTTCTGCCTAAAGTCTAGTGCCCATAAATGAATTGGGAGCTCTGCATCAGACTGGCAGGAGCAGATCAGGTAGCAGAGGATGAGGCAAAAGACAAGCATCTATTGAAGAAAGCAAAACATGCTGCAGAACATCTTCTTACCTTCTTGTAGACCAGGTCAATGGGACACCCAACATTGATGTCTACAAAGTCCACTTCAATTGTCTGGTTCAGGAGCTCAGCACATTTGGTCATTGTGTCTGGAAACGCTCCTTCCAGCTACCAAAGGGGGACAGTTTGCATGAGTTCAAAAGCAGCTTTTCTCTTCAGAAGTGAGTTATCGTTTGCCTGGTTATCAAGATGATAGCACTCACCTGCACCCCAAAAATATCTTCAGTATGATGCCGTTTAAGGAGAGCCCACTCGGAGGACTGGCCCTGAAGCAGGTTTGTGCACACAGCCATCTCCCCACAGGTGACATCTGCCCCGAAGCGTTTGCATATCCTTCGGAAAGGGAGGTTACCACACTGAAAGAGACAGCAGAGAGATGGTTTGTCAGGAGATCGCACTCTGTTCCAAATGTGGCAATGGCAAATTTTGACAAAAGGACAGAATTATCTACCTACCGTGGTCAGTGGAGCCAAGTAGAGCTTGCCTTGGATTTCCAGCTGGAAAACAACAAGGATGGAGGAGCACGTTAGCAGAGCTGAACCAGCAGTGGTTAAACAGGAAGATATTCCAGTTAGCAATTTTATCACTTGCTTTGGGAAAAACTCAGTGGGAAACCCAGGAAATGACCAGTTTTGTTCGAGAACCTCAACTATTCCCTGAGAATGTATTGCTTGGATAAAAGAATCAGAAACTTGAACCGCTCAATTTGTTTTCACTGCTCAGCTTGGAGAAAACTCAAAGCAGTTACAGATATAGAGGGTAGGTAGACTGGCTAATGGATGTAAGGATGGAGGTGATGAGGAAGGATGGAAGTGACGAGGAGGAGAGGAAGGAGGCAATGTTCTCACCCCAGGAGAGCCAACCAGCCCCAGCCTTGGCTTTCTTTACAGATCATTCCCACCCTCCCTGAGAGCTCAGACCCCACCCTCCTTCACGTGCAAGGGACTGCAGCTTTTCTTGGTTCTCACCCCTCTAAGGACAACACCACAGCCCCAAGAGCTCACCTTCCTGCATCCTTCCCCTCATGACAGTAACACGGACCCCAGGCAGCTCTGTTCTCTGCCTGCCTCTCACCCAGCTCAGAGGTCTCTTCTGTCTTCCCAAGCACAATCTTAATCACTTGACGGGTACACAAGAGACGGCAGCCCTCAACCAAACTCTCACCTTCTTCTTCTCACATGACCGCAGCTTTATAATGTCTTCGTCTGTCACTGGGCCCACTGTTTTGATGGAGGAAGCCTCCTCACCACCTGTGAGGCCGGGACTCTGCAAGGCGTCTGTTTTGGGATATTCTTCCTGCTCAGGTAGGACAGGACATTCAGGGCTGTCTCCCAGACCCTCCTGGGGTGTTGTGCAGTTGGACACCTCTTGCTCCTCTTTAGAGCGCCCCGTGGCTTTGCCTCCCTTCCCACCATCACCGTGGGTCTTGGCCAGAGCACAGAGGTACTCGTCAGCCTTCTTGAAGCTAAACTTCCTCTTGCGCAGCTGATGCTGGAGGTCCTTGGAAAGGTTGTTCCTCACCAGCGACTTCCCTTCCCACTGCTTGGCCAGGTCTGCATTGATGATGTTCTGGTAGCCGTCCCCAAGGTGGGCCTGGGCAAAGCGGCAGGTGACGCCGTAAATGCACTTGCCAAAGGTTTCAAAGAGCACGCAGCTGCGGCCCAGGTCAGCTGGCTTTGCAGCCATGTACTTGCCGATATCGTGAAGGAAGCGGCACCGCGGGCCGAAGTAGCACTTCTCTGCACACCCCTTAAAACAATAAAGACAAGGTTAAAACCTCTGGCCTCTGTTTGCTGGCCTGGGCATGCCTGTACCTTCCAGCACAAGCAAGGTTAGCCTGGGTCTGCCCCGGCCCAGAGAGGGGCCAGAACTGCTCTGAGCACCCATCACTCCCTGGTTGACATCAGGCACCCCGTGGAACGCTCCCAGGAAGCTGACTGGTGGAACGTGCCACAGAAGGGCAGCGACGTACCCACCTGAGGGGACATTTTAGCACTACTGCTTCAGGGAAGCTGACACGTTACTTGTACTGCTCAGCTCATCCCACTTCACCCTCTCCCAGCCAGCCAACGGAGGCAGTTTTGCCAGCACAGCCCCCGGCTATGCCCACCCTGCTGGGAATTTGCCCTGGTGCAGCTCCCTCTTCAATATGCTTTCCCAGACTTAAAAATAAATGCTGCCCTTGAGCAGGAAGGGCCCACCAGGGTCCCAAATTTCCCCTTCCAGAGCAGCGCAGAGCAGGGCCCCCACGCCCTACCTGAGATACCGACGGGCACAGCCTGCTTTGCTCGTAGTGGTTGGGTTTCATACACGGCCTGTTCTTGTTCTGCCCCCGGGCTCGCTTCCGCTCCGCAGGCTCCTTCTCTGCTCCAGCATCCTCTTGGCTTTCCCCATCCTGACCGAGGTCCTCCAACCTCACCCGTTTGGCGGGGGGCTCACTCTGGCAGCTGCTGACCTCCTCCTTCTTCTCCTTGACCTCGACCTCCTCCTCCTCACCCCCACCACCCACGTGGCCGCCAGGCTGACCCCCAGCCCGCAGGTAGGCATGGAACTGCTCCTTGGAGGCGAGAAACCTGCGGAAACACAGCACCCGTGTGAACACAGCCCGGGGGGACGGGAGAGAGGGGGGTCTGCCTGCCTGGAAGTGGGGGGGCTGCCGGGGCCGGGCACGTAGGTGGGGGGACGGCAGGCCCCAGCACATACTGGGGAAGGAGTAAGGAGGGGCCGGACACGTACCGGGGGGGGGTGTTATGGAAGGACTGGGCACGAAGCGGTGGGGATAGCGTGGCCGGGCACGTCCCGGGGGTTATGGAGGGGCGGCTCGGCCTTGGGCCCGCACTCACCGGGCGCGGACCGGCGCCACCCCTGCGGCCGCGGCCGCCATGCTGCCGCACGCGGCGATGACGCGAGGGGCGGGGACCACGTGACGCGGGCGCGAGTCGGGCGGGGCGGGTATAAAAGGCCCGGCTGAGAGCCAGTCGCCTCATAGCGGCGGGCGGGGTGGACTGAGGAGGCGGGGTCGTTGCCCGGGCTGGAGCTGGGCGCTCGGTCGGGCTCTGCGAGGGGTCGTAGCGCTACCGAGGGCCATGTCTGCCCGGCTGTGGGAGGCCCTGAGCCCTCTAGGCTTGCTCGGGGTGGGGGAGACCCTGAGGAAGGGGCTGGCTGTGGGGGCAGGCAGTCCCACTGCCCTGGGGGAGTCCTTGAGGTCAAGGTTGGTTGGGGGGCTGCCCATAGCTCCCCCCCCCGTATCAGGGTTGCCTGAGTGGGAAGAGGAGGCCAGTGTGTGGCCCTCACACCCGGAAGAGGTGTCATTCCTTGTTGTGGCTCTTCAGGGCTTCTCTCTGTTTTGGGGCACCTCCTGGGTGGCATCTTTTGAGGGATCAGGGATTAACACCAGCTGCTGTGCCAGGCCGTGCTCTTGAGCAGGAGCAGGGCTAGTCATGGCTTGAGGGAGAGGAGAAAAACACCGATGGGCTTTTGTCTCCTGGCTTCTGAGGGGTTCCCTGATTTTGGGGAGAGGGTCTGGCTTGTCTGCTTCTTCATAGCTGTCGGCTGGAGAAGATGGAGAGATTGTCATCTTTCTGCAGAGATGCAGGGTGCTTGGTGTGGGTTTTTGTACGTTTGGGCTTTTTTTTTAAAGCAGCAAATGCAAGGCTGGGTTGCTAGGTGCTCAGCCTGAACTGGGGGGATGAGCCATCTCCTGTTGCACAGAGCTGTAAATCTGCCTTAGAGCTGTCCCACGGGCAGAATTTTGTTGCGGCTGCTCCAGCAACAGGATTTTCCATGTTACCGTTTGGAAACATTTTCAAGCTTAACCCAGCTGAGGTGTGGGAGGGCTTCGTCTTCCCACTGATGGCCCATGGGAAGAACTGGTGTCTGTGCTCCTTGCAGTGGGCTGTGTGCCATCGTGCCTTCCTCCTGCTGTGGCCAGGCTGAAGGATGGATGGTGAGGCCATGAGACAAGGCCACCTTGTCTCTGGGGACTGGGGTTGTCCTCTGACATGGGCTGTAGCCACCACAAAACTGACTCTGGATCTGAGGTGCTGCCACACATTCCTGATGGATGCATTAATGAGGCTGTCATGCTAATGCAGTGAGCGAGGGCTGGTGCTCGTGAGACTGGCTGGAGCGTAAAGTCTGCCTTTGCGTTTGGTCTGTGGGTGGAAGTTCAGGCTGAAAAACAAACTGACATGTCAAACGTGGGGTGTTTGGTGTGAGATGGCACATGCTGGCTTCTGCTCCCTCCTCTGTAGCTGCCATGTCTTCCCAATGTGTTTAGGCACTCATTACAGCCTCTCCTGGTCCATAGTCCCTGCACGCCAGAAACAGCCAAGAGCTGTGATACTCTGAGCCTGTGCCTGATGTGCATGGGCCTCGAGCAAGAAAGATCTTGTAGCAAGGGGGCTTGAGGTCTCGTGGGGTGATGTGTTCAGAGCTCTCCTGGATGAGGTTTCTTTTCCAGCTTAGGCTCGCATCCCTTCCTTTGCAGTTATGCTCCGTCATCTGCACAACCTTGTTTGACTCATGCTTGGCCTGGGCTACCAAGAGGGTGAAAAATAGCTTGGGAAGTCCAAATGAAGAAAGATCCATGCTCCATCATTTTTCCTGTCCCCTGCACTGAATCTGAGGGCCTTGCCAGGCCCTTTTAGCTGAATAAAAAAATTACCTCTTTCTTTCCATGAGCCCAGGAAAGCAGGCTGGAGTGCAGTTTCAACCCTGCATTGTAGTGCAGGTACCAACAAGAGGAGGCAGAAGGTAGCTTGTGTTTTTTGCCTTTAAGGACTGCTACAAGCTGGTGAAGAGCAGCTGTGCTTGTGATGCTGGGGAATTACCCTAGTGTTGAGTTTGTTTATAGGCACCTAAGAGTTGTGTGTGTACATGGCACAGAGGTAAGATTGCATGTGGGGCTTTAATTTTGGTGTTTTCCTGTTTTCTGTTGCCTTAGCGCAGTCTTCTCCAGATGCTCCATCAGAAATGTCTTTTGGGAGGAGCTGGGAGCCTGGCAGGGTGCTTTTGCCATTGCCAAGGGTGGGCAGGTTGCATGATCAAGCCAGGCTGCTGTGAGAAGAGCTTTTTGGCTGATTGGGTGTTAATTAGTTTGGGAGTGAAATATGAGGAATGCAAAATACTATTTTAAGCTTCAGCTTGGCTGAGGGAAGGAAGGAAGGAAATGAGGCCCTGGGGATTAATGAAATGATTTCACTGATGTTTTTGTGGGGCAATAAGCCTGAAGTCAGAGTGCTTTTGACTTGCCGTACTCGGCTGAGGTCACAGACTTTCGCATCTAATCCCTTCTCAGGGTACTGGCTTGGCAGTTTTATGAGGCTGAGCCTCAGGCAAGCTTCCCAGCAGACCCTGGCGAAGGGTCTGAGAATGGAGCATGAAGCCCCTGGGATTGCCAGCTCAGCTGCAGCCCCTTGGGCACCAAATTGGAGCCAGCTGCAGTCTGTGTGTCATGCATCAGCACAGCTGCTCTTGCCCGATGTGACAGGGGCTTAGTTGCATGCAGCTGAGCAGCTTGATGTTCACCTATGGTTGCTAAAGGATATATACAAAGGAAGTCAGGGGAATCTCTGATGGTTATGGAGAGGTGCTGCTCTTGTCGGCTGCTTTAGCTTTTTCACCCCTTGCTGTAATCAGGTCATACTTAGGTTGGAAGCGGGGCCAGGGGAGCGAGGAGCTGCGAAGCCTGCATTGCGGCTGCCTGAGCTGGACAGCTTTCGTGGGTGAGTATAGCGCCTGGATCGCCAGAGCTGTCACTTCAACATCCTTCAGCAGCACTAAAGCAGCTTTGAAGAAAACCAATACCCAAGAACTCACTGGGAAAGGCCAAGTCAGGAAAAAAGGAAAGGTTGATTACAGGAAAGTGTGATATATATATACAGGGAGAACTAAGTCAGAAAAAGTTCAGCTACTTCAATGTCCAAGTTAAACAAGACACATGTATTAATGAAACTACCCCTTCCATGGGCTCCTGCACAAAAGTCGGATGTGTCAAGCCCCTGGTTCTGGCTACTACACCCAGGTGTTAGCTGAAAAATGAGGTTCTGTGGCAGCCCCAAGAGGTCACCTCCACAGCTGCAGCAGGGTGAGAGTGGGGGTAGAAATTTGGGCTGGTCACATTTGTTTGGATGCCTTTCATAGCAATGCAGTACTGTTCTGACAACCTTAGTTGGTTAATTGTGTAAATGGGCAAATGCCACAGAAGGCAGGTGTGAGATTTGCTGCTGATGTATGGGCAGGGTAGCTAGAGCTGGAAGTGAACCATCGGGTCCTATCCATCTTCTGGTCAAGGCAAAATCCATTCCTCATGTCTATTGTCTACTCTTTATCCAGTCTTGTTTTTAAAGCCCCATGCAACAGAGCTTCCAGCCTTCTGCAAAGGAGGCTATTCCCATTGCTCATAAATCTACTATCAGGAAGCTGTTTCCAAGATTAAAGCTTAAACGTTTCCCCTCTCTAGTTTCATGCCCCAGCTCCCAATTCCCTCCCTGCCGTAATCACCAGGTCTCAGTTTCCTCCCAGCAGCTGATGGTTCATGTGGATACATGCTGGGGTTTCTATACCCCACACTAAGACCCCAAATACCACCGTGCCGTGTCTGCCCCAAGAAGACCTGTGGTGGGACATTTTGGAAATGGGGTGTGCTCCTCAAATTCTTGTAAATGGCTGAGCCAGGCTTTGGGCAGGCAATTGTGTAATGGTGTTTAGAAAAATATCTCTTGCCGTAGTTCCCCCTTGGCTAGTTTAAGAGCTGTTCAGAGTGCTGACTTAGCGTTTGGCCCATGGATGGAGCAGTTAAAGGTCATTATCTGGGCAAGGTCTGTGTGGTTTTGGGACAAGCTGTCAGTGCACTGGAAGTGGACTGGAGTTCAGGGTCTGTTGTGGATATCGTACCACCTATGGCAGGAATGATTGTTCCTTAAGCTGCAATAATAAACCATGGTGGCGAGCCCTTGGATTGCAAAATCCACATGGTGTGTGGGCAGGGGTTTCTAATGGAGGCGGGAGTGAGGGAAGGAAACGTACTGGACATCTGGGCTCATGTGGGAGCGAGGGAGCAGTGTGGGATCCTGAGTCTCTTGGCTGTGGCATTCAGCCCTTCATTAGTAAAGCTTGGAGAAGACCCCAAGTCTTTTCATCAGACCCTAAAATAAGATGAAGCCAAGGCACCAGTCATGGGAGAGGCTGATTTCTTGGCAGAGGCTGCTCTGAGTGACGGAAGAGGCAGGATGTAGCTTTCCCCAGCGCCCCTGGGCACAGGAGTAGGGGAAGGCCCCAGTTCTCCTATTCTGGGAGCTCTGGGGGGCTTTTCACACCAGCCTTTGTCCCTCCTAGCCTTCATCGCCCTTGACCCTGCCGTTCCCAGGGCCATTCTGGGGCAGCTCCTTGGGTTGGTAGGGGGAGAGGCTCCTGACAGGGACCCTTCTCTTCTGACCTCCCCTGTCACCTGAGGTCACCCCATCACTTTTCCATGCAGGTTGGCTAATTCTCTGTTGGGACTTCAGAGGAGTTGAGGATCTGGACAGGAAAGGTGGTTACCTTCAGCTCTTTAGCTGGCGTCTCCTAATGCCCTGTACCACCAGATAAAATCTCTTGTACATTTTTTATTTTTACATGAAAAAGCAACACTGAGATTTCCTCCTGACATTTAACTCAGTCAGTAAGTGACAAACCGAATAAACATTCCTGTTTCACTGGGACAAAGGCTCCAAGATCCTGCTGTGACTAAAATGTTTCATCATTTCCGAAGTGAAATGTTTCAGTTAGAAAAAAATAAGAAAAGAACAACTAAAAATGACACGTTTCAATGTTTTTCTAATTATTTTCTCCATTTTGGCTGAAGCTATTAGTCAAATTTGGCCCCACTTCACAAACAGTTTT